GATACGTTTTGTTGCAGCAACTGTCGGGCGTACAATGTAAACACGCCGTGAAGATTGCTCACCCCATGTAAGAATCATGCGCTCGGAAAACTGTTCCACGTGAGCGCAATTATGCTCCTGCAATATTGACATGGAGGCAATTTTGTCCAGTGGACGCATCAAACACGGCTCCACGGCCAAATCCTTTTTTTCGGGCATCAGCTCAAGCAAGTGAATGAGCTCACGACGTGCCATCTGCGCCAACAATCCGAAATCATCAAATTCGGCCATTTTCTCTTTTTTCGCTCCCTTCTTGCTACATCTGCAAACGCACAAAACCTTAAAAAAGCTGAAGGTCAAACATTTATGCGCGAAGAATTGGCGCAAATAAGGTTGGAAAGCAGAAGGATGAAAAACACGGCATTATGTATGAAAAAAGCAAGCTAAGACACCAGTTAATATGAGGAAAATAGCACGAATATGGGCAATCTGGTCGACTTAGCCTAGCACATGGTATAGGCAGCACGGCAACACACATACATGCAAATTGTCAGGGTTTACTGTTTTTTATTTTTTTTTGTATTTTACTTTCTGACCCCGATTTTATTGCTGGTGATCACAGCCCTCCGGACTGGCTGTTCATAGTCTTTACTAATATGATCCTGAGAGAGCCTGTGTTGCCCGTACTGTTCTTCCGATTTTGCCCTTGACTGTATTGACCGTTATTTATAGTCTTGTCCGTGGGCTGTTTACAGCTTTTTCTTGATATGATGCTCATAGGGCCGTTAGGCCCGTACTGCCCTTCCCAGTTTACTCCATTTTGATATTGGCAAAATTGGTCTCGCTGTGAAGGCAAAGCGATATGTTTAGAGAAGGACAAGTTTAAAATATGTCTTCACGGCAAACATCCAGCATGCACTGTGCGAGAACTATAAATAACCAGCGACACGCATTAGGGCAATCATGCGTTTTGTGAAGTTCAGCCGAGCGAACGCTTGCCCACCAAAAATACAACTGTTTTACACTTTCGTGCGATGGAAAAAGCAATCGATATGCGCGAGCGCTTGGGAAAGCTATACTTGGGTGATTTTAAATTTGCAGGAGTGCATGCGGGCAGGGGACATTACCGTACAATTTCAGTTTCCTGGCCTTTATGGTTACCGAAATAATACTTCTTCGCCAAAATTTTGACGGAACCGAGGGTGATATCCGAGAGCGCGGGAACGTTGGATTTTAATTTGCAAGGTCACGAGGGCAGCGTCATTACTCTAAAATTTCAGTTTTCAAGATTCCGTGGTTCTCAAGATAATAATCTCCCGCCAAAAGTTTTACAGAACTGTACGTGCTACCCTAGGCATGGAAAGGCTGAATTTAAAAGAGCAAGGTCACGCATGGGCGGGTAACAACTCTAAATCTTCAACTTCCTAGCTTTTGTTGTTCCCGAGTTGAAAGTTGCGGGCAAGTTGCTGCAGACACGGACACATACACACACACACACACACACACACACACACATACACACATAGACAACTCCGTGACAATATTCTTTTTGTACTGCTGTTACACAGCAGTTTTGTACGCGTGACAATATTCGTTTTGTACTGCTGTTACACTGTTGATACCAAAACAAGACAAAATTCCACATTCCATTCAATTCTGGAACTGTGTGAAATCGAAATGAATTTGGACTTGAGGCCATAGGCATCAAGATGGAAATCTGAATGTTGATTTCAGGCATGTGATCCTATAAAAGACCACAGACTGCATCCCGAAAATTCGTATTTCCTAGCTTTTGCAGTGCTTGAGCTGCATTATCCGGATGGACGGACATATACAACACGAAATGTTTTTCATTTACTCAAAAAAGATATCAAAAATGATTATTGTTTTTAAAAAATGATCCTCAACTCCATCACTTTTCCGGTACTTGTTTGAAAGATAGACATCGCTGTAAAAGGAATGAACTTTCCGTGCATATCGCCTTAAGATCGACACAGACAGTTTTTCCAGAATCACACTGATACACTAGATTAGCACTGCTGGCTTCTTATTGATATGTATTAGCACAGGCAAGCTTTTCAGGTACTCGAGTTATTAACTTACCCGGAAAAATTTTGGCGGTCCCGTATGCAGGTACCACTGTTCTTGTTCGAGGGCTGGGTTTGAGCTCACTAATACCCGCTTGGACAGGAACTTACGATTTCAGCTTTCTAAAATTCATAATTCTGGCAAATTTTTTAGATTTTTTATATGTACCAGCTATGACTGCTCTTTTTCCCCCGTTACTTCCGTCATCCTTTTTATGGTAATATAAATTATTAGTACAAAAATGACCGTAAAGGCTTCACTAAATTTGTGTGGAAGACAAAAAT